AAAAAAAAAAAAAAAATGTGAGTTCATTATCAGATAAATCTCAGAGTTCATTTAACTCACTGGCTCTCCAGTGCTGGCTGCACACTAGAATCAACAAGAGAGCCATTAAAAAAAATAATCTTAGGGGTGGCACCTGTGGCTCAAAGGAGTAGGGTGCCGGCCCCATTTACTGGAGGTGGTGGGTTCAAACCCAGCCCCAGCCAAAAATAATAATAATAATCATCTTAGGCCCCAACCCAGACCATTTACCAGAGGGCTCTAGAGTGGGCCTTAAGACTGGCATTCTTTTAGCTCCCCTTAGGATTCTCCAAGGAGCCAGGGGGAGACCCCTCAGGCAGTCCAACCTTCTCATGTTGTATGCGTCAAAGGTAAGTGGAAAGAAGAGAAGAGGGCCAGGCAGGTGGCTCACACCTGTAATCCTAGCACTCTGGGAGACTGAAGCGGGCCGACTGCCTGAGCTCACGGGTTCAAGACCAGCCTGAGCCAGAGCAAGAGACCTTGTCTCTAAAAATAGCCGGGCATTGTGCTGGGCACCTGTAGTCCCAGCTACTTGGGAGGCTGAGGCAAGAGAATCGCTTAAGCCCAAGAGTTTGAGCTGTGATGCCATGACACTACTGAGAGCCACAAAGTGAGACTCTGTCTCAAAAAAATAGAAAGAAGAGATGAGGTACCTAAAGTTACCCGACTTGATTTCCAAAGGTCTATTATATTTCCAGGAGGGGTAACTGTTTACTTTCAAGAGCTTCTTGGAGTTGGTCCTTGCTTCAGAATTTCACACTGTCACTCTACCTCAGTTTTTATCTCTTCCTTCATTTTTCCTTTCATTCCTTAAGCATGTACTTTGTGTCCAGAGCTGCTAAGTAAGGTGGAAAATATCACAACAGCAGAAGACACAGAATATCTGTCCTAAGAATTTACAATGTATTCTTTCCTTGGAATATTTGTTTCAATAATCTACAGCTAACTTCAAACAATCTTAGCCCAAGGACAAAAACGGAGGGAGAGAGACAAAGCTTGCTGGGTAGACGACCCTAAACACACCTGCTGAGTGCCCACCGTGACCCAAACACACCTGCTGAGTGCCCACCGTGACCCAAACACACCTGCTGAGTGCCCACCGTGACCCAAACACACCTGCTGGGTGCCCACCGGGCAGATGCAAAAATGAACAGGCAGGCTGTGCCTCAGAGACCGGGAGGGGGTCCACTCACCCTCCCACACCACTCCTACAGCAACAGGAGCCGTGTTCTGAATGTCCACACAATGAGATCGTTCTCCATGTCTAAAACCTCTCAGTGGTTCCCTCCTTGGCCTCAGAATGAAAGTCAAACTGTAAAATGGCCCACAAGGCAGCCAACCATCGGACCCCTGCCTGGCTCTCCGGCCTGATATCAGATTTCTCTCTCACAGCTTATTTTATTTTTAATTTTTTAAATTTCTTATATGATGTTTAGAGTTTTTTTTTGAGACAGAGTCTCACTATGTCACTCTCGGTAGGATGCTATGGCTTGTCACCCTTGGTAGGGTGATGTGGT